CCCCAAAACCCCAAAACCCCAAAACCCCAAAACCCCGGAAAGTATACACAATGTTGAAATTTAGTTAGAATTTTGGACCATTCCCTAAACATATTTTCACTACGTCTATTGTCTTCTTAGCTTTAATCGCTTCTCTGCTCTTTGACACTATATTATTAGTCCTCATAGCTTACCAATGAGTCCTTTAGAAGGTCCTAATCTTAGATTCGAGGCTTTTCTAATGAAATTGTTTAACTCTTTTAGAGATTTTACAAGTTCTTCATGGTTATTCCTTCTTTGGAGATATTCACCTATCAAACTTCCATTTTCTTGCTGCACTACGGTGTAGTTCTTCTTTACTGATGCCATATCACCAAGCATTAAGGAAAATTCTCCTTTTACTACAAAAGCTTTGGCATTGTTTACACTTTCAGCTATATTTGCTGAGAAGTGACCTCTGAGCTTATCATATTCTCCAATATTCTCAATTAGTTCTGTGGCTAGCTTGGCATCAAAAGGTCATTCAATGTTTTCTGGTTCAAGCTCATGGATGCTCATGAATACTCACATGTCCTGGACCATGTCACCAATAGTTTCAAGATCATCATGACTAATTTGAAACATCATTCCACTACTCTCAATCCGAGCTTGAATTATCAACTGCTTCTGAGTTTTAACATGAAGGAACATCACATCTAGAGAATCAGACTTATTTATAACGTATCCCTCCTGTTCTGTATTCAAGTTAAATACTTTCTGAGCCCAAAGAAGAATTCTGTTAGGTCTCTCTTTCATTCTGTAAGATACAACATTAACAGGGGCTTTCCCTTCAGAATAATCCTTGCTAAACTCGATATTTTTGAAAAGGCTGAACTTTTTGAAAACTACAGTTTCATGCAAAGTCATAAAATCTTCTGCTGAGACTGAATTTCCTACAATTATCTTACAATCCACTTCTCATTCAACACTTTTTGATGGGGAGATAGGGACTGTTATAGAATTAGTTCCCTTCATCGGGCAAGAGACATAGCTTCCATTTTCAAATAAAATATCAGAGAACAGTAAAACAGAACGGATCACAAGGCCAGCGTCTACTTCAAAAATTAAGCATGCTGATTCGTCAACTGTTGATTGAATAATGCTTCATTTAAATTCTGATGGAACTACAGATGCTAAGTTTTTAGCATCAGCTTCCTTCTTTTCGAAATTATCCTTATCTAAATCTGCTTCAAGCTTCATGATCTCTTTAGTCAGCTTATTGATTGCAGCATCAGTTTGTTTTCCTCCTGTGTTATTGGTCTCAAAGGCAGCTGCATTATTGGTAATATTAAATCCTTTTATATCACCATCAGTGTTACAAATTACAACTTGAGGGGTTCCTTCAAGTCTATAGTCCTCATACGCTATTTTCGAAATACTAGCTCCCATGTTTGTGGTTTGAGCAACCTCACCATCAATAGATTTCCTGACCTCAACTTTACCGCTTTGGTATCCCACCATGAGTTGACAACTTCCATCCATATCATAATCGACTCCGAGGAGAGCAGAGATTTTATTATCAACTCTCTTGTTCCATTTTTGCTGTGAGCCAGAATATACTCCTAAGGATCCATTGTTAAGAGAATATGCAAATGAAGTATTTTGTATCTTAGATAAGAACTGGATTTTACTCTCTTCATTAATATCAAAAATAAGTTCCTCTCCTTTGTAAACCCTAATGGAGTAATCGTCACTTCCAACAAGAAGCTCTTTTTCCTGATCCAGGTCGAAATCAAGGATCTCCATGGTATTGGCAACATCTCCAGTGACAGTCCAGAACTGATCATCTGAGGAGATGTCAAAACCTGTGAGGGAAAGATTTCCTCCGGTGAGGACAAGGGGGAAAGCTGGGTTAAAATCCTTCGCGAAAAGCATACAATTTATACCATCTTCTACTTCTTTATCAAACACATCTGAGTTTTCATTAACGTCATAGACCAATAAATTTGTTTTAGATCCGATCATCAGTAAGTCTCTGTCAATTGTGGGGTTAAGCTGTCCTCCCGACAGGCATACCACATCCTTATTCACATTGAGATACTGTATATCCTTTCCCTTCAAGCCAAGTACAGGATCCATCTCATCCTTTGAATGAGGAGTGTGAATTAAGATCTTACCTCCTGTTGTTGAACTAGCTAAGGCTGGAGAACTTCCATCAAACTTATTGATCGTCACTAAGCCTTGCGGAAGAGAATGATTCAATGAAAAATTGTATGCTGTTACCAACATTTTGAATTCAATAAATTATATTTTTTGAGGGGTTTTGGGGTTTTGGGGTTTTGGGG